ATTGATTCAGTGACTGGGGTAATGGGGTAGGTGTGTTGGAGACAGTGAGATTGCACAGGACAGAGCAGGGTTTAGGGCTGTTGTACACAGGCTTGCTATGAGTTGCAGACGACTCAATGGCACATGACACAACAACAACTCTAAGACCATGCCACTAGAGCTCCTCTATTAGATATTAAAGCACAGTTTAATTATAGACACATCATTAGTGTATAAAAGCACAACAAACCAGGAGGACAGATTTGAAATCTTGTTTTGCCTTAATATATGATAAAGGTGACACCTCAAGTAATGGGAAGCAATAAAATTTTCATAGATGTGCTGAGGTATAAGAAAGATAGAGAAAACAGGAAACTGAGTTGAAATGGAATCTGATGCATATATTTTTGTGTAGCTAATGATGTCTGATGAGTAAATAAGAAATCCGTTACTTTCACTCTAGATGTGAACATTTATTAAAACTCTGGCACTTTGCCCTACTAGAGAAGAATCAGCCAAGAGAGTTTTCCCTACTGGGTGAAGCGTCTCATTGTTGTCTTTATCCAGAACAAGTAGCTGGAGATCCTGGTGAAGACTGCTGGAGGACTTGCTCTTTTATTGACATAGGAGGCGATGCCATGGGCCACGTTGTTGCACACGAGAGGACCTCCAGAGTCCCCCTGTGGACACAGAGAAAAAGGACTGGTCCAGCCATACCCACTTCAGGCCTATCCCTCCTCTCTATTCTAAGCCCTGGGCTTAGAGCAGAAAAAGAAGGAGACTTCTTTCCTTAATTGTGCTTGAGGTGAAGGAGATGTTGCAGAAAACTAGTATCTGGACCATTGTATTATAGCTGTACTAACTTCCTCCATTTTTAAACAATGTCACATTTTTAAGTACTGGCTATGCTTACTGTCTCAGGCCCAGTGTAAGCAAAGGTACTTTCACCCACCCAAGGAAAATGCATTCAAGTGTGTGGTCAAGTGTTTGCTTCACCCTTTTCCAAACAGTCCCTTCCCTGACTGAGATATAGTCTATTCTAGTACCCCACTTAATGCCTAAGTCCCTCTGTCCCAGGGCCATGTTGGCAGATACCTAGAACCTTACCTTGAAGACAGTCTTCTTTTCCCTTGGGTTTCCCACACAAATCTGCTTTAGGCTGTTGTAAGAGAAGTAGCGAGATTTGCATTCTTGGTTCCTCTGCACCGTCAGCTGGACGTCCTGAAGGACACTTGTTCCCCTGGTTAAGCTGATCCGGCCCCAGCCAGCCACAGTGCACAAGGTGCCAGGCTTTAGCCAGGCCCAGGTCTGAGGTATAGCCACAGGTCTTATCACTTGGTTGCTTCTGGTTCTGTTTCCTAGCTGTCAAGAAGAGCATAGACACCCCTGCTACTTAAGGCCCCAGCCAAGGGCACAGGGTCTGCTGGTAGAAGCTCCAGTTCAACCCACACCCATTACCACCTTGAGCAATTGCCCTGCCTCCTCCTTCTCACTCTCAAGACACAGTGAAACCGCTTCACCTTAAGGGTCCACTAAGTATGGGAGAACCGGAGGGTCGGGAGGTGGTACCTGCAGTAACATGATGTCATTGATATAGGTCTGTGGATTATACTGAGGGTGGGGGATGGCTCTGAGCACAGGGATGTGCTGCTGGGTACTTTCCCGCCTCTGAACATCATGAGCCCCCAAGATAACAACTGTGGAACTGTAAAGGAGAAAGAGATGAGAGGTTAAGTTTACAAGACATAATAGCTCTGGTCCTCTAGCTCTGCATTTTATTCAGGCAGCCCAAGGCAGGTAAGACACAGTGCAGGGTACATGGGAAACTCTACCCCTTTGCTTCTCAGCATGCCTGAGCTTGGAACGACAGAGGATTCATGACTTTAAATTTTGCTTACCCCTGATTAAACTGAGCCAATTCACACCATCCCATCTCCACCACTTGTTACTTTTTACCAAAGTGTTCCTTTTCTCCACAGAAGTGCCATTTACACTGACCTGTATGTACACTCTTTCCCTTGAAGACTTTTTAAATCTTTTTCATTGCCTCAACTCTGTTTTGGCAATAGTTACTTGATGGGCTCTGTTAGACTCTTGCTCTTGGGTATCCCTGAGCTCCTCACCTTCCCAAGCAGTGAGCCGCTGTCAGCACAAAGTCTTCTCGCACCAGGAAACCCCCACAATGGCTTACACCAATTGGAGTTTGGATCTGAAGAAAAGCCATATAGGGATGGGAGTGGGGCCTGGCCTCTTGTCCTCCGATGATTTCCCCTGAAAGAAAGCCTTGGCATTACTCTTTGTGCTGACTGAATCTGTAGTATGGGCCCAGCTTGGCAGTTTCAGAAAAGCTAAAGGATAGTGGGCAGAAGAGGTGATATGACCAAAGGAGGAGTTGAAAGTTGGTTGTAAGGATTGGGATCAGCAGGGCACTAGACACTGGGAGAGAGTCCAGAATTCTGGAAGCAGCAGGCAGCACTGCTGGCTTTAACGAAAACTCATCATCCATTCCAGACTGCTTCCCACCCTCCCTCCTGAAAAAAAAATAATAAAATAGAATAATTCTAAAAAAAATTAAAAATTAAAAAATAAATAGAATAATTCTTGATATGATCAGCTTCAACTTTGAATATTGAGGAGATCTGGGCTGCTGTCAGGATGGAAATCTGGAGGCTTCTGGAATGAGCTCGCTCCGGTAGTTTCTTCCTCGTGGAACATCTCAGATTCTAATTCTTCTGAGTCTGTGATTGCCAGCTCTTGACCAACAAATTGTGAGATTGTTTTCTGGGTATGGACTTACTGGACTATGTTAGTGTAACCTTATCTCCTAAGCTCTGATAGACTGCAGGTTGACTTGACAGCACATTTATATAGCACTTACTCCATGCTGGGCACTGTTTCAAAAGCTTTATGTACATTAAATTAACCCTCATAGAAACTCTGTAAGGTAGAGATAAAAGTATTCCTATTTTATAAATGAGGAAACTGTGAATCTTAGCAACGTATTCAAAGACTGGCAATTAGGATGTAGCCAAGGCAGTTTCACAACCAGGAAGATGACCCAGAATTTATGCCCCTGAGCACTGTAGAATGATTCTTGGTTGTTAGAGGAGTAAGATAGGACAAGAAAGGTTAAGACTGGACTTCTGTATGCTGAACTTCCCTTAATTATTGGTGATTATCTGGGAAGTTGGGTGTGTCCAAAGGCCTGTTACATAATGCCTTTGCACTAAGAGAGCAGGGCCTATTGTGACAATGAACTCACTAAATTTGGGACCAAACAGAACTTGGGCTACTGTCTTTGAATATCTAAAAGACTACACTAGGGAAAAGCAGGAAATCACAA